TGTGACAGTGTACGCCAGGCGTGTGTGCTCACTGCACATGATTTGACATGTGAACGCACGTTCCTGTCTTTGAAAGTTCCCACCTTGAAGGGTTCCTGTCTAGGGGACTTACTGTATCGAGTTCAGATGGGTGCTGGAGGGTTACTCGGGAAGTTTAGATGCTCCTTCCTCCCTCCTTCCCTTGCTTCCTCCTTCCCTCCCTTCCTTCTTTTGTAAAATAATGCAAAGCAAGTGGCTTAATCTTGTTTAACCACATTTGAGATTTCTGGAAAATAACATTTCTGCTTTCTCCAAAAGTGGTTTAAAAGGTATGAAAAAAATGGAAGTGACTACTGTTCATAGACAGAAAGAGTAGAACTCCTCAGATCCACAGATCCACACAACAGTATCCAGGGAAAGTAAAACTAGTAAAACGAAGCAACCCCCCCAAAATTCACTTTACCAAGCCCCAGGCTTTGTGTGGGGTTAAGAGTGTAGATTTTCCCAGATAATTAGGCTAGATAATCTTTTGAAGTCCTTATATATTCTGTGATTCTCATTCTTAAATGCTATAGAGAACTTAAGTTTGGTAGGGAAATGTTTATGAGCACTATTTTCATTATGGAATTCCCCCTTAATATCATAAATTAGCTTTCTTTGTTCCATCTCATAATTTTCTCTGGAAATTTAATTTTCCTTGATGGTCACACTAAGTATACTTTCTTTTTTGTTCCATATGGTTGATTTCTTGTTACTCATTCCTTTACTGTTAACCTTTTAACACTTCCTAGGATTTTTTGTTGCTGCTGAATCTAAATTAAAACAATTAAGTTATTTGCAGTACTAATTTAACTCCCCAGAGTTTGAGCAAACTCAGGGAGTTGGTGACGGACAAGGAAACCTGGCGTGCTGCAATCCATGGGCTTGCAAAGAGTTGGACACGACTGAGTGACTGAACTGAAAGGAATTTAACTTCACAGTACTAATTTAACTTTTAGTTGTTCTGATACCATCATTGAATTTATAAACCATCTAAAAAATGGTAGATTAAAACAAAGTAAAACACTTAAAATTTTAGAAGTAATATTTTAGTAATATTTGTGGCTGGGAGAAATCAATAGCTACTTTTCACTCACCATTGAAATGATCTCATTTCATCTAGAAATGGATGAAGAAATCATGAAAGTTCAGTATTTCCATTGGACACCTTTTACATCACATTATTACCAAATAACAAATAATAAACCTACCTGAAAGTTAAACAGATGACTAACCCCTTCACTGCCTTAAATAAATGAGAAACAAAAAAATAACTAATAAAAATAAATGGAAAAATATATATATATTAAAAAAAAGAAAACAATAGTAAATATCTGTAAGTCATTGAAATTGCTTTTGAATACATAAGAAGGCAAATGAAATGAAAATGCAAAGTCACTAAAACATGTAGTACTTTTATTTTTGAGCATTAGAAATCTTTATTTTTTAAAATTATAATATAAAAGCAGATTATGAATAATTCATTTTTTGTACATAGAATGATATGAAATCATTGATAAGCTTTTTAAAAAGTTATGGTAAAACATAACTGACTAATCACTGGCTACTTGGTGCTTGAGCTGTTCTTTAAACAATATCAGAAGAATAAAATGTCTTTTTTTATTTTTTATTGGAGGATAATTGCTTTACAATGTTTCATTGATTTCTGCCATGCAACAATGTGAATCAACTATATATATACATATATCCCCTCCCTCTTGAATCTCACCCACATCCCACCCCTCTAGGTTGTCACAGAGCACCAGGCTGAGCTCTCTGTGTTATGTAGCAATTTCCCACTAGCTTTTTATTTTACTCATGATATTATATCAGGTGTCGCTAATGATAAAGGACCCACCTGCTAGTGCAGGATGTAAGAGACTTGGGTTTGATCCCTGGGTCAGGCAGATTCCCCTGGAGGAGAGCAAGGCAACCCACTCCAGTATTCTTGCCTAGAGAATCCCATGGATAGAGGAGCCTGGCAGGCTACAATCCATAGGGTCGCACAGAGTCAGACATGACTGAAGCAACTTAGCATGCATGCATGCATTGTATTTCAATGCTACTCTCTCAGTTTGTTCTACCTTCTCCTTCCCCCACTATGTCCAGATGAATGGATATAGAAGTTGTGGTACATATATACAGTGGAATATTACTCACTTATAAAAAGGAACAAATCTGAGTTAGTTGAACTGAGGTGGAAAAACCTAGAGTCTGTTATACAGAGTGAAGTAAGAGAAAAACAAATATTTTATATTAATGCATATATATGGAATCTAGGAAAATGGTACTGATGAACCCATTTGCAGGGCAGAAATAGAGATACAGAGAATGGACTTGTGGATAAAGTTTCTTTTTATTCCAGGTTCTTCATACACTCAGATGCAGCAGTGGAGTAACTCCTTTAAGTAATAACTTTTTTTAAAACCAGGCCATAAGGGAAGGGAGAAAAAGGTCTTTAAAAATGGCTTATGTGTGAGGGTTCTTTTTCCTTAACATCCTCTCCAACACTTGTTATTAAATATTTCTTATTTTTTGGGTAATAGCTATTCTGATATGTGTGTGAGGTGATATCTTAGTTGTGGTTTTGATTTGCATTTCCCTAAAAATTAGTAATGTTAAGCATCTTTTCACGTGCCTGTTAGCCTTTTGTTTTGGTAGAAATATAAATCGGTGCTGCCACTATGGAAAATAATATGGAGATTCCTCAAGAAATTAAGAATAGAATTACCATGTGGTCTAGCAATTCCATTTCTGGGTATTTATCTGAAAAAACTAAAAACACTAATTTGAAAAGATAAGCACCACTCTGTTCATTGTGGTATTATTTACGAGAGACAAGATGTGGTATCAGTGGAAGTGCCCATCAATGGGTGAATGGATAAAGAAGATGTGATGTGTGTGTATATATATAGACATGTATGTGCTATGCTTAGTTGCTCAGTCATGTCTGACTCTTTGTGACCCTATGGACTGTGGCCTGCTAGGCTCCTCTCTCCATGAGATTTCCCAGGCAAGAATATTGCCATTTCCTTCTCCAGGGGATCTTCCCAATGCAGAGATTAAACCCAGGTCTCCTGCATTGCAGGTAGATTCTTTACCATCTGAGCCACCAGGGAATATATATATATATATATATATATATATATACAGATACATGTAGTGGATTATTATTCAGCCATAGAAAAGCATGAAATCTTCCCATTAATGACAACATGACTGGACCTAGACCTTGAGGGTATTATGCTATGAGAAATAAGTATGATTTCCCTCATACGCAGAGTATAAAAAATAAAACAAAAACAAACACATACACTCAAAGAACAGATTGGTGGTTCCCAGAGGGACCAGGGGTGGGAGGGAGAGCAGAATGGTAAAGGGGTCAGCTGTATGGTGACAGATGGAAGTGAGACTTTGGTGCTAAGCGCACTGTGTAGATAGAAGTTGAATTAAATGTTGTACCATGAAACTTATATAATGTTATAAACAAGTTTACCTCAATAAAAACAGAACAAAACAAAGCATAGTTTATAAAGCATGTAAATGATTTTGAATAACAGAGATAGTTTGGACGAGGCCCTGGTGCTTCACAGCTCCCCATGCAGGTTTTAGAACCCTCAGTTCTACAGTGGGTGAGAATACTACACTTTGCTCTGATGATTGTGCCACAGAGGAGGAAACCTGGCCTGAAGTTGGCTTAGCAATGCCTGGAGGATGAGTGTTGGGTGACCTCAAAGAGTCAACCAGGAAATCAGAATGCTAGAGTCCAGCTCCTTGACTAAGTCATTGGAAGAGCAAGGACGAAACAGGCTGGCAGTTTTCAAGCTCTTGACCTAGTGGTGAGATCCAGCTATTAGACAGGAAGATGTCAGAAGTTCTTAGTGTCACAAATCAGAAGCAAAATGCTAGTAAATAGAAGCCGTAGAGAAAAGACAGGAGTTCTCATGACAAGGAAAAAAAAATTCTGTTTATTTAATCTTGCATCTATGTGAGATGATGACATTCACTAAACTTACTGTGATAACTATTTCATGATGCATGTAAGTCAAGTCATACTGTACATCTCAGACTCATACCGTGCTGTATATCGATTATATCTCAGTAGCACTCTAGGAAAAGAAACTTCAGCAGCCTTCATAGAATTTCCCCAAGATTATTTTTTTTTTAATTTTTAAAAAATATATTTATTTTTAATTGGAGGATGATTGCTTTACAATATTGTATTGGTTTCTGCCATACATCAACATGAATTAGCCATAGGTGTAAATATGTTTTCTCCCTCTTGAACCTCCCTCCCACTTACCATGTTATTTTTTGAGCTTGTTTCTCCCCAGAACTTTGGTTAAACACATGTTCACTTGTTGTTGCACTAAAAATGATCCAAAAGGATAAAGTCAACAAGATACCTATTAACACAGTGAATGTTAAACTTATTTTGTTGCTCCGTATGTATTGCAGGCAGAACTTCCAAAGAGATCTTTATCTGATAAAGTACTTTAATTAAACAAAGACCTTAGATAACCAACAATGACCTCCTGTATAGTACAGGGAACTCTACTCAATATTTTGTGATAACCTATATGAGAAAAGAATCTGATAAAGAATGAATATATATATGTATAACTGAATCACTTTGCTGCTTCCTGAAACTAAATCAACTATAATTCTATAAAATTAAAAAAAAACAAAGTTCTGATTGACTATCATTTAACTGATAGCATAGTACTCAGTGGGATTCAAAAACAGCATTCAAATAACAGGTCAGTACTGTTGTATTATACACATTAAAATAGTCTTATTTCATCCAGTTTCCAATTTTATGTATAATTAATTGAAGGTCTAACTTCAAGACAATGTTTTTTCTGTGTCATCAAAATTACATTATTAAGATTTAGTAGGCATCAACAAAGCCTCACATTGGGCTTTTAATATGTTACCCTGAAGGCAAATGATTGCAGACCTGGCCTCTGTTTTTCTTGTAGGTTGATGAGGTAATGCTGACTCTGAAGCAGGCTTTCAGCACGGCTGCTGCCCTGCAGAGTGCCAAGACCCAGATTAAGCTGTGTGAGGCCTGTCCCATGCACTCTTTGCATAAGCTCTGTGAAAGGATCGAAGGTACAGTATAAGTTGGCCTTGGCAGAGAGGAGTTTGCTTTGGCGTTGAGGAAGTGAGAAAGTTGCTACTGTCTTTGAATGCTTCTTTGTTTCGAGGTGAACCAAGAGCTCTAAGAATCATTTCTCACATCTAGTCAAATTTGTGCGGTCAGTCTCTCCTAGGTGCTTGGCTCTTTTTCCTTTTTTTTTATTTTTTAACTTTTTTTCCAGAGGCAGACTCCAGGGAGGAACTTGCATTTCCCACAGTTCTTAAGACTACTTGTGTGCACAGTGGGAACTGACCAAATATTTGTTGAATGAATGAAGAGAGACAAACCCTACCAGAATGTTGACTGTAGATTTTTTTCTCTTCTCACTTGATGATGTGTCCTTTTTTTACTAAAGGTTTAGAACAGGAATGAAACTTTCCTAACTTTTGAGGGACATTTGAAAATCACCCAGATAATAGACATGATGTCATAAAGCACATTGAAAAAAAAATGTGTTTTGAAGAGGGGGAGGGACATGAGGAAAAGGTGATTCTGACTCAGTTTTCCTTTCTTCTCCTTGTCCCCTAATAAAAAAGGCCGAAAGCTACTGCACCCGAGAGGACACCCAATTTAATAGACACTTGTTAAGTATCTGTTGGGTTGGCCAAAAAGTTCATTCAAGTTTTTCTAAATCTGCTTATGGAAAAACCCAAACGAACTTTTTGGGCTACCCAAAGTCATGTGCTGGGTAGTGTGCTCAGCACTGGGGATGCAGAGATGATTGAGATGCGGACTGTGCCTTCAGGAAGCTTATAGTCTGAAGGGAAGGCAGGCTTGGGAGCAAGTACATGTAATTCAGTGTGATAGATGTTAGTGTTGATGGGGAGAGGTTGTAGAATAAAGCAGAGAATGTATGAACCATCGTAAGTGTAAATTGTGATATCTGTTAAGTAGGTGGGAAAATCATAGGCACATGGCAAAATTTATTGAATGCCCACTCAACTGTGTGAATAAGGACTATTTAAATGTAATAGTCAAATTAAAAAATTTATAATATTTTACAGAACATGCCTTATTTTCAAAAATATATATATAGCCTTTACAAAAATGGAACAGTTTTTGGTGTATGGTAAAGGGAATATAAATCTGGGGAGGAAAGGCTGAGTGATTCAAGAGATGGTGTTGGATCAGTTTGCCATCCAAAGAGACAAAGATTCCTTCCACATATCTACTGAAAATACATTCTAGAGGGATCAAAGTCTTCAATGTAAACTAGCAAAATACTAAAACCATTAAAAGAAAATAAAAATGTTATTTTGTCCCTAAACAAGAAAACCTTTATTAAGACACAGAAATGCAGAAACTACCAAAGAAGACATTGACAGATTTGATTTCATAAAATCTTAAGATTTTTACAAAACAACAACTGCTTACTTGGACGTTAAATGATAAGCAACAAATGAGGAGATAACAGATTGCTGTTTAGAATTTGTAAGGACTGTTATTATCTATAAGAAAAAGATAAAACCACCAGTAGGAAATTATGCAAATCATATTAAAACAAAGTTCCTTTAAAAATTTTAGTTTTAGACACCTGTGTAAAGAAAAAGAATGCAAACTATACATCCAGAATTAGTAGGGCTCTCCCAAGATCTTGAATGGACTGAAATTTAAGGTCCCCAGCCTTCAAAGTATGTATGTATCTGAAAGGTGCAAAGGAAGGGTTCATATTGACCGAGAAAGATTCACACAGATTCTTTTCCTAAGGCCTTGGCTAACACCTTCTGATATGATTTTTTACCCTTGTCTTTGACATTAGGCCAAGAGAACATAAGATAGGGCAGTGCTCTGACAGTAAAAATGAAAGGAATAACAGTAAGACAGATACTCTCATAAGACTTACCGTGTCTCAGCACTATTGTGTTTTCCATATCTTAGACCACTTCATCTGTATAGAAATCCCACAAGATAGGTGCTGTTTTTAATCCTCATTTTACTCATGAGGAACAGGCACTGAGATGCATAGTGGGTAATAACTGTCACATCCTCACTGCCTAGGAGGGGCACAATCAGGATTTGAACTTGTTCAATCTGATTCCACAGCAACTTGGTGCTTCCCTCTGGAAGAATATCGGAAAGCAAGGATTTTCAGGGTCACACTGTCCTGAAGCCGTGACATCAGTGTGTTTCCCCAAAAGCTGTTTTCATCTGGGCAAGATAACTGTGGATTCTGAACTTGTGTTATGTACAAAGTATAATACTGGAAAAAGGACTGTATTCAGATTCAACACAAATTAATAGGAGTAGAAAGTGAGAAAAATAGTACATACGAGTATTTAGCAGTATCTAGATATTAGTATTTCACATAACTTAGAATTATAGAGTCCTGTCAATACATTTGGCTGCATTAATATAGAGTTCTTTTTGTACTAAAAAAGAAAGAAAGAAAGGGAGTAGATATGTATGCTAACATAATCTATGCCTCTGTTAAGGGCATAGACCGGGAAGAGTAGCACAGTCATGTTGGTGGACCAGAGTGAATCCAGGAAGCAGTGTCTGAGGGCACCATCTCTCGAGGACCCATCCACAGCATGTGAAACTAAAGTGATGCTGAGTATTGTGGAGATGGAACAATTATCCTCAATCTTGTTTTCCTACAATAACTTGTGTGAGGGCTAAATAATATACTTACCTCTCAGGACTGGTTAATTCACTAATCAGTGATTCCAAATTGGAAGTCAAATAAGATTCAAGGTAGTGTAGGGTGCATGCATAGTTTGAAAATAAATAATATACAGCAGTTTGCAATTCTTCTACTGAAATAAAAGACTGCGGAAACTTCCTGGGCTATAGATTTAGTTACATACTTCAAGTAAGTACCTTCTTTACTTTTCTCCTTTTTAATCTTTTATCCTCCTACCCATGCTAGTAACATACTGGAATAATAAGCAACATAAAGCAAACAAACAAAAAAACCCTACTCATGTGAATCAGTTTCTTAATATACTGCCTCAGGAGACTTTGCCAGCAAATAATAAGCTGTGGTAGTGGGTGACATCACACTGTCAAAATGAATTTTAGTGTTTCTGAACGTGATCACAGATTTTCACAGCATTTGTTGTATATTGCACAAAGAAGTGTAAAGCTGAGAAGTTTCTAGAAGCTTTTCTTCTTTCCAGTTCCTATCATATACTACATAGTGGTTTAAAACAGGTCCAGCGGTGTCCCTATACATGTTATACACACCATGGTAGGAATTCTAGTTTTTTTTTTTTAAAACAATGCCTATTTTGAGGTAAACCTCTGCTAGGGATTTTAAAGTGCAGTCTACCTATAAGATATATTACATATGAATAGCCGGATATCCTTTTTCTAATCAGAGTACAGTAGAAATATTACAAGTGACCCCTAACTATGTAGATCTGTTTCTTAAAAATGGATGGTCAGGCAAATCATTATTAATATGAATTTCACTTCCCCTTTTAAAAAATTAAAGTGGAAATGTTTTTATGGAAAAGATGTTTGCCTGAGGATTTAATCTAAATTATGTGTAGAAGTGCAACAGATATATGAATAACATAGGAATATAAACAGTTTATTGGGAAAATTGTAACACTAAAAAATGTCCCTAAGTACTAATGATGGCCTTGAAGTTTCATTACCAAGACCTGCATAAAGGGGAGAGCTTCCTACCTAATAAGCTCCAGCTCTGCATTTTAATATTAGTAGTTATTTTTTCCTTTTTGAATGTCCAGTTTTAAGCTTAGAGATTTTGGGCAAGGCTAATACTCACCTAAGAGTTTCTAGGATGGCTAAGTTTATTAGGACCTTCAGTGGTGTCTGGTTAGCTGTTAATTTGGTATCATGTACATCTACATGATACCAAGCCAACAGCTAACCATGGCAACTATTTTTCATGGCAAATAGATGGGGAAACAGTGGAAACAGGGGCTGACCTTATTTTTCTGGGCTCCAAAATCACTGCAGATGGTGATTGCAGCCTTGAAATTAAAAGACGCTTACTCCTTGGAAGGAAAGTTATGACCAACCCAGACAGCATATTAAAAAGCAGAGACATTACTTTGCCAACAAAGGTCCATCTAGTCAAGGCTATGGTTTTTCCAGTGGTCATGTATGGATGTGAGAGTTGGACTATAAAGAAAGCTGAGCACAGAAGAATTGATGCTTTTGAACTGTGGTGTTGGAGAAGACTCTTGAGAGTCCCTTGGACTGCAAGGAGATCCAACCAGTCCATCCTAAAGGAGTCCTGGGCGTTCATTTGGAAGGACTGATGTTGAAGCTGAAACTCCAATACTTTGGCCACCTTATGCAAAGAGCTGACTCATTGGAAAAGACCCTGATGCTGGGAAAGATTGAGGGCAGGAGGAGAAGGGGACGCCGGAGGATGAGATGGTTGGATGGCATCACTGACACAATGGACATGGGTTTGGGTGGACTCCAGGAGTTGGTGATGGACAGGGAGGCCTGGTGTGCTGTGGTTCTTGGGGTCGCAAAGAGTCAGACATGACTGAGTGACTGAACTGAGCTGAGCTGAACTGAGACATTTTTTGTTAATAAGTCTGACTTCAAGATCACTCATAGGGGTCATTGTTTTTGATGAGGAGACTTTCCATTTAATTATTTCATTGCAGTGTTCCAAGGTTTGTTGTAGGCAGAAACACAGCTCCTTGAGAAGGTTTAACTTCAGAGCCTGCTGGTGAAGGGACAAGCTGCAGTGCGTTTTATATGTAAACATGAGTGGTAAAGAATCTGCCTCCCAGTGCAGGGTTCAGTCCCCAGGGTTAGTGTTTCTGAACATGATCACAGATTTTCCCTGCATTTTGTTGTATATTGCACAAAGAAATGTAGAGCTGAGAAGTTCCTAGAAGCTTTTCTTTTTTCTAATTCCCTGGGTCAATCCCTGGGTTGGGAAGATCCCCAGGAGAAGGAAATGGCAACCCATTCCAGTATTCTTGCCAGGAAAATCCCATGGACAGAAAAGCCTGGTAGGCTACAGTCCATGGGGTTGCAAAGAATCAGACACAACTGAGTGACTAACATATGTATCTCTGTGGCTGGAACCTGTTTAACACGAATCCCCATCATTTCCCTTAGGTCTCTACCCACCAAGAGCCAAGCTGGTAATACAGAGGCATCTCTCATCCCTGACAGATAACGAGCAAGCTGACATCTTTGAACGTGTTCAGGTAACATGATTTATAATCCTCACAAATAAGATATAAAGAATGAGAATTGGATCCCGTTTTTCGAGTTCCTTTTTCCATTTCTCTATCTGAAATGAAAGATAGGTATCCCACTATATTCTCTGATAGTTAGTAGAACTCCCTTTTGTTCCTAAGAGCAGCTAAGTGCTTAGCTTTATTTATGTTTGTCTACCAGACAGATAAAATTAAATGAGAATAAAACAGTAGACGCTGTCTTCCCATAATGTGCTGTTGGTCTGTCTTCAACAGAAAATGAAGGCAGTCAATGACCAGGAGGAGAATGAACTTGTGATTTTACACCTGAGGCAGCTATGTGAAGCCAAGCAGAAGACACACGTTCATATTGGGGAAGGCCCATCGGTGAGATGTTTGCTCCCTAATGGATTTTCGTTTTTTTCATATATTCAGTCAAAACTTCATAGAAGTTGTAAAATGAGTTTCTTTGCTTTGTGTTCTCATCTTTAGGGTTAAGCCCTAATCATCCTTTTCCTCCTAGCATCTTAGAAATTTTATAGTAAATTTTAGCAAGCATTGGCACATGGAGATAAACTTGTGATGCTTTTAAAATGTAAACAAATTGTGAATTTTGATAGAAAACCAGTGATAGCAAATGCTCATGATTTAGAATGAATGTACATATTTTAGTAATACTAATCCATTATTTTATTTCAAATCCATATGAACATCTTATTTCATTAAAAACTTACACAGCCTTGAGTGGTAGAAGGCAAACATGCAAACAAGAAGTAATGTCATGGAAACGGCTCTCCTGACTGCAAACGAAGGGATGATATTTCCGTGCACATGGTTTAGAATGTGTTCTCAGCTGCATGTAGATAAAGCCAGACCACCGGCAATGACATCTAAGGAAATTATGACATATTTACCTCAGTAACACTAATTCAGGTTATATTTTTATTTCATTCTATTCAGAACAAATCACATGCCATGTGATAAGTGATTCCTTAATTATTTATTGTACAAGTGCTTCTAGAGGACCTTCTATGAGCCAAGCTATATGATAATGTGACAAAAAAGACATCAATGGATGATGTAGCCTGCAGAGAAGAGCTCAAATAATCCAAAAGGGAATGCAAATTAAAAGTGAAAAGTGTTAGTTGCTCAGTCCTGTCTGACTCTTTGTGACCATAAATATTAATAGATACATGTAGTAGAGGCAACAAAGTAGCTTTTTAAAAGAATGTGCAGTGAACACATAAGTAGCTCCATGTTTGCTTTCCAGCTGGAGCAGAGAGTGAGGGAAAGCATGAAAGAATTGGAGAGGAAGAGATTTTTGGGGGAGGGTGGGGCTGGAGTTTTAGGGGAGATAAAGTGTTCTAACCAGAACAGTTGAGGATTTGTATTTTAAGAAGGAACACTGAGCAGTTAAGTGGTAACTTCGTGACCATGAGTGAATATACTCCTTGCAGGCCCTCCAAGGACATGCTGGCTTTTTAGGGTTTGCTTGGGGATTGATGGGGAATAAGGCTGGAGGCTAAGCAGTGGTGGGATGATAAAGAGCCTTAAGTGCTATGCCTGACTTTGTCATTGAAGGATTTCAGGTAAGAGCAAGAGAAAATCAGATTTGTACTTTAAAGAGATAATTCTTCTGTCATAGTGATGGTTGGTTTGTGGGGCTGGTTGGTGAGTGCCAGGACTGAAGTCACATTTTCTAATTGGGAGACTCTGGTAATAGACTTTGTGAGAAGTGATTCATTTATCAAGTGCATACTATGAACTAGGCAATGGAGATGAATAGTGACAGCTATTTTCTGACCTCTATTTAGAAGGAAAAACCAACATGTAATCAAATGAAGTGAAAATGGAAGTACAGTGTGATTGGCACGGTGATATATGTGTGTTCTAGACAGAGATAGCACTGGGACATAAATAGATTGAATGATTCTATCTTGAAAAATTTATTTTGTCTTAGAGAGCAGCTAAACTGGAGCCCTGGAGATGTAAGGGAGGCACTGAGTCAAGAGCGATTTGGGAAGCATGATCCTTAGGATTTGGTGACTGACTGGATGGATATGTTTAGGATGGGAGAGGGTCTTGCTGGGAGAGACTTCAAGGTTTCAGATTTGGAAGAACTGGGTGCAATAGCTAAGAAATACACAAAGAAGACAAGAGTAGGACAGAAGATGGAAATAAGAAAGAAGAATTCAGTTTTGCAAGTGTGTTTGAGATATAATTAGAAAATGGATTTGGTGCTCATAGAATTTGAGTTGACATTATAAATACAGAAGACAGTGAGCTTTGGCACAGGTTTGAAGTCAAAGACGGGTGTTCTGAGGGATACCCACATTTTAGGCAATGAGTAAATTAAAAGGGAGCCAGTAATAAAAAACTGAAAGGGAATAATGAGGGAGAAAGATTTATTATGGTATGACCAAGGTAGGAGAAAAGTTCATGTAAGAAGATCAGTGATGTCCAATGACACAGGAAGGTCAAGAAACTTAAAGAGTAAAATCTGTCAATGGGTTTGCTTATATCAGTCATTGATGGTAATAGTCATGTTGACCAGAAGGCCAAAGGCAGTGTGTGAGTAGTGATACAAATTTTCTATATGATGGAGAGAACTCAAGGTCACAGAGGAGGTTTTAACAATTTATGTATGAAATTCCTCCCCTTCTCTCTGCCTTCCTCTTTCTTTTCCTTTCTTCCTTCCATTTATTCATCTAGTACTCCCTGAGTGGGCTTCCCAGGTGGTTCAGTGGTAAAGAACTGAACGTATAGGAGGTGTATGTTCGATCCCTGGGTTGGGAAGATCCCCTGGAGAAGGAAACTGCAACCCACTCCAGTATTCCTGCCCGGGAAATCCCATGGACAGAGAAGCCTGGCAGGCTCCAATCCATGGGGTAGCAAAGAGTGGGACGTGGCTGAGAGACTAAACAACAGCAAGTTCACTGAGGAGCTGCTTTGCCAGGCAGTGTGCTCAGGACATTGTGCTCAGTACAATTGCCCTATTTCAGTCGTGTCATTCATCCCAAAGCCGTAGAGTAATGAGTCATCCTAGTCCCTATACACAGCCGGAGCCCAGTCCAGCCCACATTCCTGTCCATTGTTTTCTCTTCTTTTGGATGGCAGCCGTGTTTCTTTTATCAGGAACTCCTTAGACGATCCTGTGGTGCCAGCTCCACTATGGACCTTTATTGCCTCCTGCGTAGACTGTGCTGAAGCCTCCCATGTGATCCTCCAGTCTCTGATTTCCCAGTTCTTTGAGTGACTTTGAACACTCTTTTCACATAGATCTTCCCCAAACATTACTTTCACAGTGATGCCCCTCTGCTTATAAATTGTAATCAGTGGTTCTTCCTAATTACCCAGCATTTAAGATCAAGGTTTTATCTCTAGCTTCACTTTCCCACTTTTCACTCACTTCTTTCTGTTTTAGTCAACTATCTGTATTGACATCCCGTCCTGTGAGCATCCCAGCCGTTACGATTTTGCCAGCACCATCCCCAGTGTTGGGAAAGTGTTCACCTTTTTTTCCTGCCTATATTAAATCCTGTGTATCTTTTTCTTCCTAACCATTGAGAGCCACAGCTCATGGTTCCATGTTTGATACTTATGTGTTGCTTCTTCACTGTTACATGTGAAGATATTTACTCCATAAGCAAAGGATGAGTTTTCTCTTTTGGAAGTTTTCTGGCACTAAGAATCATGTGATATACATAGTAGCTTTTTATGTCTGTATAGGATAAATTATTTAGAGAATCTCACTTTATATAGTGGACACATTGTAGGTTCTCATGCAGTTTAATACTATCAGGGAGTACTTGTTGATTGAAAAGATAAATGACCCATTCGCAAATGAAAAGGGAATTATAACAAAGGCATTAACAGAATTCAGCTTTACTAAATGAGTCTTTGTTTTTTGAAAACTGTTTCTTGTGTTTTCCTTGGTAATTTGGATATAAAGTATGCAATTTGGAAAGGGATGATTATAGTTATTAATCAAAATAACAACAGCAAAAAAGTGACATCTTTAGTTTTTGTTAAATGCAGCAGGAATATATTAGCAGAGAGGAAAGGCATAAAGGAAAAATCTTATTTCTGTCTTTTTTATTACTTATAATATTAAAAATTAAACCCATTTGCTTATAATCTGTATGCTTATGATGTGGAACCTAAATTATTACTTCTTTAATAGAGCTCCAGATGAATTCTTGTGCTTTTTAATGGCTTAACCATAAGCCTGTCTTTAAAGCTTCATTTAATCTTGAGTTTTGCCAAACCAAAATTTATGTTTTTCTTTCCATAGACTATTTCAAATAGTACAATCCCGGAAAATGCGACAAGCAGTGGAAGGTTCAAACTTGACATTCTGAAAAATAAAGCTAAGAGATCCTTAACTAGCTCCCTGGAAAATATCTTCTCAAGGGTAAGATTAAACTGAGGCTCTTCAAGGTATTATGTATTTTCTAATTACTCTGCTTCATTCTCAACTGGCTTACAGAAGATTTCCTTTAAAAAGAACTACCAAGTTAACTTTGAGTTAGTTAATGCTTATTTAAAATAATCTCTCAAAATAAGTTTTATTCTCAGATCTGGATTTATTCTTCTGCGTCTTCTATCTGAATTTGAACAGTAGACATTTAGTAGTTGAGATATATGTATAGAACAGGGGAAATCGAATATTGATGTACAATCCTGTATGAACTTTTTATCATTTACCACTTAAAGTTATAATGGGGGTCTTTCTTTTACTGATTCTTAGGAGCTGAGAGGGAATGCTGAAAACTTTTAAGCGTTTCGAGATTCCATATGTATGCATTAATACAACAAAGCTCTAGGTTCATCCGCCTCATTAGAACTGACTCAAATGCATTTCACTTTATAGCTGAGTAATACTCCATTGTGTACATCTACCACAACTTGTTTATCCTTTCTTTTTCTTTTGTTTTTTTTTCATTTATTTTTATTAGTTGGAGGCTAATTACTTTACAATATTGTAGTGGTTTTTGCCATACATTGACATGAATCAGCCATGGATTTACATGTATTCCCCATCCCGATTTCCCCTCCCACCTCCCTCTCTACCCAATCCCTCTGGGTCTTCCCAGTGCACCAGGCCCAAGCACTTGTCTCATGCATCCAACCTGGGCTGGTGATCTGTTTCACCCTAGATAATATACATGTTTCGATGCTGTTCTCTCGAAACATCTCACCCTCGCCTTCTCCCACAGAGTCCAAAAGTCTGTTCTGTACATCTGTGTCTCTTTTTCTGTTTTGCATATAGGGTTATCATTACCATCTTTCTAAATTCCATATATATGTGTTAGTATGCTGTAATGTTCTTTATCTTTCTGGCTTACTTCACTCTGTATAATGGGCTCCAGTTTCATCCATCTCATTAGAACTGATTCAAATGAATTATTTTTAATGGCTGAGTAATATTCCATGGTGTATATGTACCACAGCTTCCTTATCCATTCGGCTGCTGATGGGCATCTAGGTTGCTTCCATGTCCTGGCTATTATAAACAGTGCTGCGATGAACATTGGGGTGCACGTGTCTCTTTCAGATCTGGTTTCCTGGGTGTGTATGCCCAGGAGTGGGATTGCTGGGTCATATGGCAGTTCTATTTCCAGCTTTTTAAGAAATCTCCACACTGTTTTCCATAGCGGCTGTACTAGTTTGCACTCCCACCAACAGTGTAAGAGGGTTCCCTTTTCTCCACACCCTCTCCAGCATTTATTGCTTGTAGACTTTTGGATAGCAGCCATCCTGACTGGCGTGTAATGGTACCTCATTGTGGTTTTGATTTGCATTTCTCTGATGAGTGATGTTGAGCATCTTTTCATGTGTTTTTTTTGCCATCTGTATGTCTTCCTTGGAGAAATGTCTGTTTAGTTCTTTGGCCCATTTTTTGATTGGGTCATTTATTTTTCTGGAGTTGAGCTGGAGGAGTTGCTTGTATATTTTTGAGATTAATCCTTTGTCTGTTGCTTCATTTGCTATTATTTTCTCCCAATCTGAGGGCTGTCTTTTCACCTTGCTTATAGTTTCCTTTGTTGTGCAAAAGCTTTTAAATTTCATTAGGTCCCACTTGTTTATTTTTGCTTTTATTTCCAATATTCTGGGAGGTGGGTCATAGAGGATCCTGCTGTGATTTATGTCAGAGAGTGTTTTGCCTATGTTCTCCTCTAGGAGTTTTATAGTTTCTGGTCTTACATTTAGATCTTTAATCCATTTTGAGTTTATTTTTGTGTATGGTGTTAGAAAGTGTTCTAGTTTCATTCTTTTACAAGTGGTTTTCCTTTCTTTTTCGATGGACATTTAGGTTGCTTCCATGGAAGGATACCATCACAATATGATAATTATCCTCCACTTAAAAATAAAATGAAAAAACATTAGGTGTAGATTAACAAAACATAGCATAGTGATTTCTCTTCCTCTTCATGTTCCTCTTCCTGAACAGTTCACTCCTGAAGCTACTAGACAAGACATAGCAAGGTATATATCGGGTCTGTAAGGCAGAGGAGACAGTGGCTCGGGGAGAGGAGACAGCCTGAATGGGCGCTGTATGTGGTGGTGGGGGTGGGTGGCCCAATGCAGCGTGCAGAACCCGGAGTGTGGTGAGGAGGGTGTCAGCCCATGGGGGCGATCTGGTTTCTACAAGTGGAGCAGGAGCAGGTGAAGAGGGTGCCCTGATCAGGATGGCTCAGCCTGGGGTGTCAGAGGTGGAGTGGAGGGGAGAAAGCGTTCCAGGTGCCCAGTACAATGATGGCACTGATGTGTGGGGCTGCTGGAGCCGGGGTGGGGAGGCGGTGAGGAGAGGGTGAGTTACCAATTGTGGAGATTGGTTACATACAGGGAACTGGTCAAATATGTAAATGTTGAAGGATAGTGGGATTCTGGGAGAAGGGAATTACAAAGTTAAAAGCGGGTAGGGAATTAGAATGAATTCTGCTGCTGTTGAATTCAACTCAGAGGTAGCAGTATGGAATCTTGTTTTCTCTGCTTTGAGCAATAGAATAATATATACATATATTATACACATACATATAATATGTATGTAATATATGTATTAATATATGTGTATGTGTGTAAATGTATATATGGTCCACTGATAGGCACTGGGAACAGCTTTTCTATGCATGTCAGATAATAAATTAAGCCTGGTTGGGTGACCAGGTTAAAGTCTGTTTGGGTGACCAGATTTTTGATTTAGGACTCAGATTTTGGTTTCTCTACAGAAACAAAGAGGGAACATTTTTTCCTGGCAGAAATGGCTAGTTTCAGGATTATATGGAAATTACGAGATAAGTCCAGAGCACCTTGGCATTCTAGATAATAAAGAAGTTGTCAAAGAGAGATGGCAGGCTGTCACCAAGACATAAACACCTTGAAGGATTCCAGTGGTGACATCTGAGACAATTTGAGCACCATAATAATTGACAGCAACAGACAGGAGCCTGTTGTATAATAGGAAGGTACTAATGTGCTTAGTTGCCCACTGTGTCCAACTCCCAGTGACCCCATGGACTGCAGCCTGCCAGGCTCCTCTGTCCATGGAATTCTCCAGGCAAGAATGCTAGAGTGGGTATCCATTTCCTGTATGAAAGAAAACAGTCTATTCGGATGTGAAAAATAAATTGACAATTTGGTCATTATCAGGATATTTACTGGATAAAATGAATACTTAGTAATTACAAAGCCTAACTTTATGATGAAAAAGGCTGACAGGCACCTTCTTAATCAAATGATAAATTAGACGTCGTCAACAAGGGACAAAATTGAAATTCTGTGCTACAAAGAATACAGAAGAACTTCTGTGGTATTCCCGCCAGAGGGGCAATACTTGAATCTAATCATAAGGAAACATCAACAAACCCAGTTTGAGATACAGTCTACAAAATAACTACCTGTTACCTTCCAAAGTATTAAAGGCAGGAAAGTCAACGCAGTAGTACATTGGAACAGTGACTTCTGGTATTCACAGTGATGTCTGGTGTTCTTAGTTTTATTTCTCTGCTAGAAATCAAAATCCTTTATGGGTATTTCTATTAATGGTGGAGAGTCTTCTAATTTTAACAAAAGCCCTACAGCAGTCATGGTCATCTGACAATGTTGTTATTTTATTAGCAGAAAACAGAACCTAGGAAAAAGCCTTTAGAAGATTTGTCAGAAGTGTGTTAATGTGACTTCTCATAAAACATCCTTATCTCCTTGTCTTCAACATTTATAAATCAGTTAGGTTCTTTCTTTCTCTCTCAGTCCTCCCCTCTCTCCTTTTCTCCCTCTCTCCCATAGTGTTTAGTGAGAATTTTAGTAGACTGATCATTTATGGGGTGGTCAGGGGATCTGAATTCAAGATCTTGCCCAAGCACGTTTTATATTTATGACCTTGGACAAATTATTTACCTTTTCTAAACAGTTTTTTCTCCACTTGTGAAATGGGAAAACATTTCCCATCCGTTCTGATTAGGGCCCACTGCCGTGAGGGTGAAATGTCAGTATGTTAGGGAACTGTCTCACTGTGAATGTGAGGTGGTACATACAGCAGTGGTAAGCCCTGGAACCTGTCATTGACAAATGACACAAGGGTATTATCCTACTGAGTACCTTGGCATTCCACACAGTACTTACGTGACTGACTTTGAAGTGCCACTCCATAGCCTTGATCAGCTGTAATGAATTTCCAGCAAGGGCACTGCCGGTCTATTCTGGTCAAGGTGGATACTGTGGCTTTTGTGTCCCAAAGTGCTGCCAAATGCCATAAATTATGTGACCTAACAAGGTCTTACTTGCAACATATGCAGAAGAATGGACTTCTTGGAAAGGCTGGCAGCTAACCATGTTGTTTCAGAGGTTACATGGAAAATGGGTTTTGCCTACTTCTAAAACTTGTCAGTTTATTTATTTTTTTTTCTCTCTGAGTGATATAGTAGAAAGTTGACCCTCCAGTCATAGTTTGGCTCATAAATGCTGCTATTTTTAAATGTTGGAATATTACATTTAATGAACTATAGCTATTTATGAAATAGGATACATTTTCAAAATGCTTTAAAGCTCAGTCTATAAACAATTAAAAAGTGAGTCCAAAGGAAAAGCCTTGACATATGCGTTACTAAGTCATAATGTAGTAAAACTGAAAAAGCTGTCTGTTCAAAGATGAGAGGATAGAGTCTTGTATGCTTGTTGTTTGTCTGTTGCTTTTTCTCAAATTGAAGTTTTTCAAAAGAGGAATATTTACTAATATATTAATTATTACATGCATATTTTCTAAAAGAGAACTGTCTATTAATACAAAGTGTGAGTCCGAAAAAAGTCCTTATTTTACCGTTTTCTTCAGAGTAATAGCCATTGTCCTTATTTGTTAAAATGTGTGATTTAACAATTGTGGTAGAGTAAATTTTAAAGTAAGTTTATTTTTCT